GAGAGAGAGAGAGAGAGAGAGAGAGAGAGAGAGAGAGAGAGAAGGGGGGGTCGGGGGGCACATGACTAAAAAAATAAACCTTTAAAAAAAGAAAATGGGGCCAGGTATGGTGACAAAGGCCTTTGATCCCAGCACTCGGGAGGCAGAGGCATGCAAATCTCTGTGAGTTCAAGGCCAGCCTGGTCTACATAGTGAGTTCCAGGCCCGCTGGGGCTACATGGAGACCATCTCGAAAAGACAAAAAAAAAAAACAACTCACAGACAATACTCAGAAACCCCCCCCCCCCTTTTGCCTTGTTTTTCACCTGTGCTGTTCATTCAGCATGGAACATTCTCCATGGCTGCCTTGATGACACTACAGATTTCAGTTTAGATAGCTCTTCCTTTAGGAACTCTTCCTCATTCCCTGTCCCCAAGGCAGGTGAGGAGTGTAACCAGCCAAGAACTCCCTTAATGTCTTCTTTGAGGGCCCCCAAACTTCCCTTTCCCCAGCAGCAAGACATGGCTTTCTGACTATCACTCTTGAGGCAGGTACAAATATGGTTCCAGCCTGCTGCCCAGTACACATACATCCAGGGACATGTTTATGTTCTAAGAAACAACAAGGGATGGAAATATAGCTCAGCAATAGAGCCCTGGCCTAGCTTTCAAAGAGCCCCGAGTTCTATCCTTAGCACAACAATACAGGAGAAAGTTGGGCACAGTGGTGCAAGCCTTTGATCCTCAGAACTCAGAAGGCAGAGGCAGTTGGATCTCTGGTCTACATGGAAAATTCCATGCCAGCTAGGACTACACAGTGAAACTGTGTCTCAAAATAAACAAAGCCGGGCGTGGTAGTGCCTTTAGTCTCAGCATTCCAGGAGGCAGAGGCGGGCGAATCTCTGTGAGTTCAAGGCCAGCCTGGTCTACATAGCGAGCGCCAGGCTAGCTGGGGCTACAGGGAGACCCTGTCTCAAAAATACCAATAAATAAATAAAACATGACTGAACAAAAAGAAGTATAGGAGGCCAGCTCTAGTCTAGGGGGATGCAGGGATGGGTTCCCACAAAGCCTGAGCCTTTGTATGCTTCCTTCCAAGACCTTGGCAGACACCTCAGCCTAGCCTCTTGCCAGGATCTTCACATATCCTTTGGTGGTCACTTGGAACTGACCTCACCTCCTGACCTCCCAGGGCCCCCTGAACTCATTAGGGACCTGAAAAACTCAAATCAGTGAGGGCTTCAGGAGACACAGGGCTGGGAAGGTAGAGCCTAGAATTTTCCATGGACAGGACAGTCCTGCCTTAGTGGTATGGGAAGGATCCTGAGAGCAGCACTGCAGCATCGAAGCTGTTCCTGGGGTGTGTTAAGAGCCATCCATAGCCCAGGGCGGGCAGGGTAGAAGACACATGCACCTAAGAATCCCAAGTGACCATAGTGCTCATTCAGGGCAGCTGCTACTACTGCTAAGTTGACATCTTTCTCCACAATGAGAGTGACAATGACTATCAGCCAAGGTTATAGAGAGCGGACCCTGGGTTTTGTAAAAGGCAGCCTTCCTGTCCCCAGGACAAAGCACTGTCAGCTCATGTCCCACACCTAAGTGCTCAGCTAACCACTGATACACACCCAAGCAGTCAGCCATGGGTTTGGTAGCTCCTAGGGTCAAGTATAAACCCCAGACCCAGACCATTCTAGGTACGCCCCATGGGGCACTTACCTGCTTCTCTTCCCGGGCCGTCTTCCACTCTTCAATCAGCAACTTCTTGAGGCGGAAGCCTTCACGGGTGACCTCAGCCAGCTGCTGCAGGGACTCCCTCTCCTTCCGACCCTTCTCTCTGGGGTGGACACATAGGTACCACTAGGAGACACTTAGGACCCAGCAGGTTTGCCTTTCCCAGAAGAGCCCAAGCCACCTGCCAGCCGCACCTACACCCCCCACCCCCATGCACCACGCTGGGAAAGGAAAGACTCCCTCTATCCAGAGCCCTCATCTCTACCCTTGAGAGGAGGGGGCACAGCACACAGCTTAGTGATCCTTGGCATCAGGCTGGGAAGTCATGCTGAATGGGGTTGGAAGCTGTCCCCGAATGACAAAGGAGAAAAAGAAGCAAACCCAGGTAAGCCAGGGTGTGGCAAGCACCTGTCCTCCCAGCACTCAGGAAATGGAGGCAGTTCAAGATTATGATCGGCTAGATAACAAGTTTTGAGGCTAGCTTGAGTGACATGAGACCCTGTCTCAAAACATAAAATGGGCTGGAGAGATGGATCAGTGGTTAAGATCACTGACTGTTCTTGCAGATGACCCAGGTTCAGTAACTAGCATCCACATGGCAGCTAACCAACAGTCTTTAACCAGTTCCAGAGGATTCAATGCCCTCTTTTGGCATTCTGAAGGGTTGCAGTCAAATGCTATACTCATAGCAAAAAATAAAAATAAAATAAAAATTAAAAACCAAACGATCATAAAACAAAGCTGGGAATGGTGGCACATGGCTGTGATCCCAGCACTTGGGAGACAGAGGCAGGACTGTTTCAAATTCAAGGCTAGCCTAGCCCACATAGCAAGCTTTAGGTCAACAAGGACAACAGGAGACCCTGCCTCAAAAAGCAAAACAGAGCATGGGAGATGGCCAAGCAGGTAAGAGTGCTTACACTACAAGCATGAGCACTGAGTTCAAATCCCTAGGAAGAACTGGGCATGGTGGCACACACCTTTACTCCTAACACCTGGGAGGCAGAAGCAGGTGGAACTCTATGAATTTGAGGCCAGCCTGGTCTACATTGCCAGTAGGCTTCTAGCTCATCCTGGACTACATAGTGAAACACTGGCTCAAATAAGAAAAAAAAGCAAAAAAAGTGAAAAATTAAAAAAAAAAAAAAGAAAAAGTTAGGTGTGGGGGCCGGGCGTGGTGGTGCACGCCTTTAATCCCAGTACTTGGGAGGCAGAGGCAGGCAGATCTCTGTCAGTTCAAGGCCAGTCTGGTGTACATAGTGAGTTCCAGGACAGCGGGGGCTACAGGGAGACCCTGTCTCAAAAAGACCAACCCCCATCCCAAAAAAAACAAAACAAAAAAAACGAAAACAAAAACAAAAAGCTAGGTGTGGCCACACACATCTATAACCCCAGCACTATGGGAGGACATGGGAACTGTTGGGGCTTGTCAGCCACCAGTCTAGCAAGTTCAGTGAGAGACCCTGTCTCAAAGGAACAAGGCAGAGATAGAGCAGGATACCCGACGTCCTCTTTTGGCCTCCACATGTGTTCACTTGTATGCACATGCACATAACACCACACAACAAATAAAAAGGAGATTAAAAAATAAAACAAGCAGAATGTGGCAGCATATCCCTTTAATTGCAGCACTTGGGAAGCAGAGGCTAATGGATCTCTGTGAGATTGAGGCCAGCCTGGTCTATACAGCCATTTCCTGGTCAAATGAGCTTTTCTATGGGACCTGGGTTCAGTCCCCAGCATCCACAACTACCTGCATGCCTATACTCAGGTACATGCATATACACACAAAACTAAATAAACCTTAAAAAACAATAATTTCCCTTCCTATGTATGAAAGGATGATCTTGAACATGTTTCTTTGTTCTTTTTTTAGAGATAAGGTCTCCCTGTGGTACCATCTGGACTGGAACTTGCTATGTAGTATAGGCTGGCCTTGAATTCCCAGAGATTCACCTGTCTCTGCCTCCTGAGTGCAGGGATTAACGACATGCACCAACCACCATGGCCTGCTTGAATATCTTTAAAAAAATTTTTTGGTGCTTTAGAGCATAGTCTCCTAGTAGCTTTAGCTGGCCTCGAACTCACTATGTAGACCAGGCTGGCCTTGAACTCACAGAGATCTCCCTGCCTCCCAAGTGCTGGGATTATAAGCCTGCCCCACCACATCAGCCCTTGTATTTTGAGCAGAAAACAATCACACCAGCTTCAGATGGAGAGGGAAGTTTGGGGAAGTATGGTTCCGAAGGGGTACGACTGGCAGACTGAGCACGTAATACACAAAAGGACAAAAGGAGCAGGCATGCTGGTGTGCATTTGGAATCCCAGCACCTGGGAGGCCGAGGAAAAACGGTGAGTTTCAGGTCAGGCTGGGCCATGTAAGGAGATTCTATCTCTAAAAACAGGAGCTGGAGAGATGGTTCAGTAGTTAAAAGCACTTAACTACTGCTATTCAGGGTTCAGTAAGGATGACTCACAATCACCTATAACTATAGCTCAAGGGATCTGACAAGGTCTTCAGGCCTTGGCAGGCACCCCCTCACACACACACACACACACACACACACACACACACACACACACTAGTACAATAAATTGGGTAGGGAATAGTAAGGGGGTTACAGATAGGGGAGAGCATATATATATATAAACAAATCTTAAAAATAAATAATAGACGGGCTGGAGAGATGGCTCAGTGGTTAAGAGCATTGATTGCTCTTGCAGAAGACCCAGGTTCAGTTCCCAACACCCACATGGAGGCTAATAACCATCCCTAACTCCTGTTCCAAGAGAATCCAACACCCTCTTCTGACCTCTGTGGGTAGTGTACAACATGGGTGCACTTACATACATGCAGGCAATACACTGACATAAAATTACACCTTTAATCCCAGCACTCTGGAGGCAGAGGGGGGTGGATCCCTGTGAGTTCAAGGCCAGCCTCATCTACATAGCAAGTTCCAGGCCAGCTAGGGCCTACAGGGAGACCCTGTCTCTCTAAAATAAAAAACTAAATAATAAAATATTTTTTTAAAAATTAAATAATAGAGGATGGGGAGACAGCTCAGTGGTTAAGAGCCCTGGATGCTCTTGCCAAAGACCTCAGTTCAGTTCCCATCACTCACATGGCAGCTAACAATGGCCTGTAACTCTAGTTCTAGGGGATTGGACACCCTCTTCTGGCCTCTATGGACATTGCACAACACAGGTGCGCTTACATACATGTAAGCAAAACAGCCATAAAAGCAAATGCATCACCCAGGCATGGTGGCGCAGGCCTTTAATCCCAGCACTCGGGAGGCAGAGGCAGGCAGATCTCTGTGAGTTCAAGGCCAACCTGGTCTACATAGTGAGTTCCAGGACAGCTGGGGCTACAGGGAGACCCTGTCTCAAAAAGACCAAAATAAATAAGCAAGCAAATGAAAACAAAAAAGCAGAAAAGGAGTCAGCCTGTGTATAGTAGGGCCTGAAAAGTGTCGGTGTGTCCCACATACTTGCAGGTGTTCTCGCACACGGTGCCACTGTTGTACTCATCGGTCCCATCGCAGCAGTCTGAGATGGAAGACCAAGATCAGAGGTGGTCCATCCTCCTCCCACTGGCCCCTGCCCCGCCTCCTCCACACAATCCCTGGAGCCTGGAGCATCCTCACTCACCACATATCCCATCATTAACCCGGCTAGATGGGATGTACAGGGGTTTGTAGCCCATGTTACTGCAGTGGAAACTGCCATTGGGACAGGCAGCTGTGCCTACAGAAAAAGAAAGCTTGTTGAATGTACTCCAAGCCAGGCTAGTCCCATCTAGTCACAGAAAGCACCAGGAAAAAGCTAGGCCTAGTGTCGAACCCCTTTAGTCCCAGCACTCAGGAGGCAGAAGCAGGGGTATCTCTGTGAGTTCAAGGTCAGTCTGGTCTACATATCGAGGTCTAGGCCAGATGGCACCACAGGGAGACCTCGATTCTAAAAAAGAAAAAACAAAGACAACAAAAACAACACACACTGGGAAAAATGGGTAGGTAAACTGGTGGTAAACATCTGTAATCCTAGCATTTTTGGGAGGTAGAGACAGGAGGATCAGTAATGTTCAAGGCCATCTTCAGCTACATTGGTAGTTCCCAGTCAGCATGGACAACATAAGATTATGTTTCAAAAACAAAGAATGCAGCTGGAGACGGCCTGAGCAGTAAGAACACTGGCTGCTCTTGCAGAGGACCTGGCTTCAGTTCTCAGCACCCACATGGGGGCTAACAACCATCTTTAACTCCAGTTCCAGGGGATCCGACCACCTCTTCTGACCTCCATGGGCACTGCACACACCAGGTTCACTTACCTGCATACAAACAGGCAAAACACTCATATACATGAAAGAAAGTAAAATAGCAGTCAGGTGTCATGATCAGCTGTGCCTTTGATCCCAGCACTCAGGAGAAAGAAGCAGGCAGATCCCTATGAGATCCAAGCCAGTCAGGTCTACATACTGAGTTCCTGACCAGCTGGGGCTACAGGGAGACCCTGTCTCAACAAAACAAAACAAAAATACTGTCCCTAGACTGCAATTCAGCCTCACCTCTAAAAATCTGCCTGTAAGCCCTTCCAGAATTCACCTGAGAACTCACCTCATCCTGGAAGCCCTTCCAGAACTCACCGGAGAACTCACCTCATCCTGGAAGCCTTTCCTGATTCCTAGACTGGGGAAGGAGGTGAAGGGCTCTCTGGTCCCCACAGTGCCATTCCCCGCCTCCTTCAGAACGCTTTTAGTTGGATTCTACCACTGAGCTATACCTCAACCGGGACCTTGTTTCAGTGCCTTTCTGCCGACTGAATAGAGACCAGAACCCAGGGCCTCTACTTGTAGCAGGTGCTCATTTAACAAGAGCAAATGCAAAAGACAAACATAAAACCCACAAAACTCACCCGGCTCATCTGAGCCATCCTTGCAGTCGCAGTAGTCATCATTGACCTGATCGAATGGGATAGTGGCTGAACCGTCCAAACACGTGAAAGCCTTAGATGCATCATAGAAATGAAGGTCTGGAGAGGAGAAAAAGAGGCTCTGCCCAGAACTTTAACGAATAAATACGACCTCTGTCCCACCCACCAGTTGATGGTTATGGGGAAACTGAGACAAAGGTTACAAATGGCTTCCTCCCCGACCCCCAGGCCAGGGTCAAAGAGAACGCACTGCTGAGGGAGACACCACGGGGCCTCTGGACCTCCACGGCCCAGCAGAGGGGCAGCAGCAGCAGGAGCAAGGGTAACATTTCGTCACGATTGAGACCGGAAATGGGTTCTGCGGCGGGAAGCAGGCTGCAGAAGCTGCGCGTTGTCTTCACACTATAGAACAGAATGCAGCATCCGGTCATTAGGAGAGGGCTGCTCACCCAAAACCGATTTCTTCCATGGCTTCTGGAAAAGGAGGCCTCCCCAGTCCGAGCCACTGCAAGACTTTTGAAGGCTCAAATCAATGGTGGAATTCAAAACCTGCGATCCGGATGACGGGGCGGAGTGGGCAACCCAATTCCCGCCTATAGGCCCAAGGGGGTTACCGTTTCCCTCCACACCTTTCTTCTGCACCCTATAAAAAAGCTGGGTGCCTTGCTCCCATGGCTACTTTATTATCTACACAAGGCCAGGCAAAGATGGCATTACCCACTAAGTCTAGCAGCCGCAGGTCCTGCAGTGAAAGAAAGCGGAAGTCTAGGATGCGTCACTTCCGTTAGTGCGCCGCGCTAGGGGAACGGCTACGCCTGTTCTCCATGTTGGGAGTGTCAAGACTGCGTGTGCCGGAACTGAGGCAGCCATCTTGGGTAGGACCGTGAAGGGTTAGCTTTAGAATATACCTAAAGCCTCACGCTTAATGGCGGTGTAACTTGCCTCCATCTTGGGAGTGGCGGTGTCCTCAGCACGTACAGATAGTTCCTGAAAATGACTGTGGAAGCCCACGGGGGGGGGGGGGGGCACGTGACTGGAGAAGTGCTCCTCCCCTCTCTCCAAATGATTGCACAGTTCTTTGGCCCCGCCTTCTTGTGGGACCGCCCCTCCGCGCCCCGCCTGGCCGGGAAAGAGGTTACTTAGCAACCGAGAAATGCTGAGGCCCTCAGTTACGCAGTCCGCAGAAGTTTGTTCTGTGAGCCCTGAGAAACCGCTCTGAGGATCCTGGATTGAGGAGGCCAATTTATAGCTGCTCTACTTCCCCTTAACGGCTTCTTGGCCTAAACTCAAATCATCATGTCGTCTCCTCTGTGCTGGGCGGCGACGACCAGCGCGGTGTCTAGTCAGGAGCAAGTTTCAGCGTCCTCTTCCAAACCCAAGGGCAATAAAGTTCAGGCCCATCACCCCAGAGGCAAGGCTTTGGGCCAGGCACAGGCCTGGCCCCGACCCCATTCCAAAGTGGGAGCCTTCCACTACCATTCGGTGAAGTCTTCTGTGCACGCACAGATTCTTGAATTACAAAGGAAGATCCAACTGTTAGGTAAGATGGCTGCAGAGGGCACAGAATGATCAGGGGTCAACAGTGTCCACCTGGTCTTCTGACCAGGCACTGTGTGATAAAGGTGTTTCCCTAGTGGGAGTCTAGGTGGCCAACTTGTAAAGGCAAACGCTCAAATTTGTTTGTATTTTACCTTCCTTTTCGAACTTACAGGTTCAGAACTGACAGGACTGTATTTCACATTTAGTTTTTATTTTATTTTATATTTATTTGGGTCTTTTCAAGACGGGGTCTCCCCATAACCCAGCTGGCCTGGAACTCACTTTATAGACCAGGCTGGCTTCCAGCTGACAAAGATCTGACTGCCTCCTGAGTGCTGGGATTAAAGGCATGCATCACCACACCCAGCGTTGTGGTGTGTGTGTGTGTGTGTGTGTGTGTGTGTTTGCATGCGTCTTGTGGGTGTCTGCAACCTCAGCATAGTGTCCACAGAGGCCCAAAGAGGGCATTGGATACCATGGAGCTAGAGTTACTGACAGTTATAAGCCACCTGGATGTGGGTTTATGGGGTGCTAGGGATTGATATCTTTTTTTTTTTTTTTTTTTTTTTTTTTTTTTTTGTCTTTTTGGAGCAGGGTCTCCCTGTAGCCCCAGCTGTCCTGGAAGCTGCTATGTAGACCAGGCTGGCCTTGAACTCACAGAGATCAGCCTGCCTCTGCCTCCCAAGTGCTGGGACTAAAGGCCTGCGCCACCACACCTGGCTAGAAGTCATTTTATTTTATTATTTTTGTCTTTTTGAGACAGGGTTTCCCTGTAGCCCCAGCTGTCCTGGAACTCACTATGTAGACCAGGCTGGCCTTGAACTCACAAAGATCCGCCTGCCTCTGCCTCCCAAGTGCTGGGATTAAAGGCTGGTCAACGCCTGGCCAACCAGTGTTCTTAACCACTGAACCATCTCTCCAGCCCCATAATAATTTTTTTTAAAAAGCCAAGTTGATGGCTCACACCTATAATTCTAGCATAAGAGAGAGAGGCCAAAACAGGAAGATTGCCATGAGTTCCTGGGCTACCAAATGAGATCCAGTCTCAAAACACCAAAATTATTCTCATTTTTTTAAACCTTTTTAAATATTTTATTTTTATTTTATGTGTATGAGTGTATTGCCTGCATTATGTGAGTGCACCCATGTCGTGTAATGCCGAGGAGGTCAGAAGAGGGCTTCAGATGCCCCTGGAACTGGAGTTAAGGACCGTTCATAGCTGCCATGTGGGTGCTGGGAATCGAACCCGGGTCCTCTGCAAGAGCAGTCAGTGCTCTTAACCGCTGAACCATCTCTCGAGCCCCTTTGTAACCTTATTAAAAAATATATTTTATTTTATGTGTATGCATGTATTGCCTGCATGTAGGTAAGTGCACCTGTGTTGTGCAATGCTCACGGAGGACAGAAGAAGCTGTTGGATCCCCTGGAACTGGAGTTATGGACAGTTGTTAGCTGTCATATGGGTGCTGGGATTCGAACCCGGGTCTTCTGCAAGAATAATCAATGTTCTTAACCACTGAGCCATCTTTCCAGCCCCTAAACTTAAATTTATTTTTATTTTTGTTTTAGCCCTGCATGGTGGTGTATGCCTTTAATCCCAGCACACTGGAAGCAGAGGCAGGCAGATCTCTGTGAGTTCGAGGCCAGCCTGGTCTACATAGTGAGTTCCAGCCCAGCTGGAACTACAGAAAGATCCTGTCTCAAAAAGACAAAAAAATTATTTTTGCTGTGTGTGGTGGTGCACACCTTTAATCCCAGCACTTGGGAGGCAGAGGCAGGCAGATCTCTCTGAGTTGGAGGCCAGCCTAGTCCACATAAATGAGTTCCAGGCCAGCTGGGGCTACAGAAAGACCCTGCCTCAAAAAGGAAAAAAAAATTGGTTTTATGTGTATTAGTGTTTTTTTCTGCATGAGGGTGTCAGATTCCCTGGAACTGAAGTTATAGACAGTTGTGAGCATGTGGACACTTGGAACCAAACCTGGGTCCTCTGCAATAGCAGCCAGTGCTCTTAACCATTGAGCCATCTCTCTAGCCATCTCTCGGTTTCTCCCCTTTTTATTCATTAAAAATATTTTTATTTAGCTGGGCATGGTACTCGGGAGGCAGAGGCAGGCAGATCTCTGTGAGTTCAAGGCCACCCTGGTCTACATAGTGAGTTCCAGGACAGCTAGGGCTACAGAGAGACCCTATCTCAAAAAGACACCCCCAATTTTTTTTTTAATTTTATGTTTTTACCTGCATGTATGTATGTAAGTGCACCATGCACATGCAATGTCTTTAGAGGCCAGAAGAGGGCATTAGATCCCCTGAAACTGGAGTTAGGGATGGTTGACAGTTGATAGCTGCCATGTGGGTTCTGGGAACCAAACTGGGGTCCCATGAAAGAACAGTAAAGCAGGGTCCTCTGGAAGTGCTCTTAACTACTGAGCCACCTCTTTAGCCCTGCCCCCCATTCTTTTTGTTTTATGTCTTTTTGAGACAGAGTCTCTCAGTAGCCCCAACTAACCTGGACCAGCCTGGCCTGGAACTCATAGAGATCGGTTTGCCTCTGCCTCCAGAGTGCTGGCATTAAAGGCATGTGCCAGGATACCTGGCTCTACTTATTCCTTTTTTTTTTCCCACTTTGGCAAGCCCAAGTCCTCATGCAGGCTAGACAAGCATTTGACCACTGGACTACAGTGTTTTTAACTGGCATGGAATACTTACACATATTTATCAGATAAAGGGTGCTATTTCAATATGGTGTGCCATAATTAGATCATGATAATTGGCATATTAGTCACCAGAACTTCCATGATGTCTTATCCTCTTTACTAGCTATTTGGAAATACACAATTAGTTGCTTACCATAGTACTGCACTTTAGGTCATCTGAATTCATTTCCTTGCACCCAGCAACTATCCTGTCTCCATCATCAAGAGCCATTATACTATTAAGTTGTATAACTGGGCTTGGTGGTGCATACCTGGAAGCCCAGTACTCAGGCTGCTGAGGCAGGAGGATCCAGGCTAGCCTGAGTTACATGAGACTCACTTTAGAGAGACCAGAAAAAAGATGGTTCCAAAAGGTCTTCTCATGTGTCAGGTGTGGTGGAGCACATTATCCCAGCACTTGGGAGGTGGGAGCAGAAGGATTAGGAGTTCAAGACCAGCCTTGGCTACGCAGTGAGTTAGATACCAGCCTGGGTTATAAGAGACCTTGTCTGGGGGGGAGGGGGAGAGCCTGGAGAAAGCTAAATAGGACTGGGACCAGAGTTTGGATCCCAGCACTCATGTGACAAACTGGGCATTCCTGCAAATGCCTGTAACCATAGCTCCCGAAGGGATGGAGTCAGGAAGATCACTGGTGTTTGCTGTTTTCCAGCCTAGCAGAGACATGAACCCCAGATTCTGGGAAAGACTCTACTACCTTCAAAAGGAATGGATAAGGGAGTGGTTAAGAACACTGGTTGCTGCTCACCAGGCATGGTGGCGCATACCTTTAGTCACAGCACTTGGGAGGTAGAGGTAGTTGGAGCTCTGTGAGTTCAAGGCCATTCTGGTCTACATAGTGAGTTCCAGGCCAGCTGGGACTACAGGGAGATGCTGTCTCAAAAACAAAAAAAAGTTTGGAAAAAATCGGCAGAGTAATATGGTGGACATGCAATGTCCTCTTCTGGCCTCCAAGTACATAGGTTGCATGGATCACCTTCCCCCTCCGCCCACACACACACATACTTAACTTTTAAGTAAAAGTTCTGGGAGTATAGTAACTGGTAGTGCACTCACTTAGTATGCACAAAATCCTGAGTTCCACACCCAGTACTGCATAAAGCAGGGTGTGATGGTACAGGATGTAATCCCAGCACTTGGGAAGTAGAGGGAGGAGGAACAGGAGTTCAACACCAGCCTCAGATGCATAGTGAATTCGTGGCCAGCCTGGGCTACATGAAACCCTATCTCAAAAGAAAGGAAGGATAGAGGAAAGAAAAAAAGAGTCTGGCATGGTGGCGCACACCTTTAATCCCAGCACTTGAGAGGCAGAGGCAGGTGGATCTCTGTGAGAACAAGGCCAGCCTGGTCTATATAGCAAGTTCCAGGACAGCTGGCTATGGCTACAGGGAGTCCTATGTAGGAAGGGAAGGAGAGAATGAGGGGGAGAGAGGGAAGGGTGCGGGGAGGAGAGACAGGAAGAAAAGACAGAAAAGGTCCTTTCTCTGGGAAGTGCCCCCCACCTGCCCACCACCTACCCACTCACACTGTGCTGTGCTGCCTACCCACTTCCTCTGCCCCTAGAGGGTGACCGGAAAGCATTTTATGAGAGCTCCCAGTGGAACATCAAGAAAAACCAAGACACCATCCACCAGCTTCAGGAGGAGACAAAGGCTCTCCAAGCCCAGCTGAAGGACCTGCTGCAGGTAAGGGTGCAGAGGTAAGAGGTAGAATTTGGGGTAACATGTACGTGACCCCTGGGAAGGCTGACCTGGCTCTTCTCCTTCACAGGGAGATTCAAAAGTGGTCCTTGAAATACTTCAGGAATGGAAGTCAGAGAAGCCACACCTTAAGGACAAGACCTGCAAGGTTAGCGTCCCCCAAATCCTCCTCCTCTTTCACTCCAACCTGGGTCCCCTTCACCCTGGACTTCCTGTTTCCAACTGCCTACTCTCCAGACTTATCTCTATGCCAGCTGTTGATCACTTATTTATTCAATGAAAATAAATATTGGATTTTTCGTTTGTTTGTTTGAGACAGGGAAACACTCTAACCCAAGCTGACCTGGAACTTGCTGTGTACATCAGGCTGGCCTCAGACTTACAGAGATCTGCCTGTTTCTGCCTCCTGAGCACTGATATTAAAGGTAGGTGCCACCACGCCCAGCTAGAAAACAATTTAGGATTTATTTTTATTTGTATCTGTGTGTGTATGACTGCTGTGTGTGTGCAGGTGGCCAAAGAAGTCAGTAGTGGGCACTGGATATCCTAGAACTGGAGGTACAGGCATTTGTGAGCTGCCCAACATGGGTGTTGGAAACTGAACCTGGGTCCTCTGCAAATGTGTATGTGCACTTGAACCCACTGGTGTCACAGCACATGTATAGAGATCAGAGAATAACTTTCTGGAGTCCTCTCTTTCTACTTCATCGGTTTCAGGGTTTGAACTCAGGTCATCAGGGTTGGCACTTTTCCCCACTGAGCCATCTTGCCAGCCCATCAACGAAATCTCTATTATACATTGACCTTGTATTTGACTCAGTGTTCAGTGCAGAGAAAAAGCAGAGCAAGGCCTCCTAAGAAAGTTATGTAGTAGTGGAAAACTGACAGGAACTGAGCCTAGTGGCCCACACCTGTGAAGCACCACAGTGAGGCAAGAGGACCAGGAGCTCAAGGCTCCTGGAGCTGCATAGTAAAATCTGAAAATGCTCTCAAAAAACAGGAAGGGCCTGGCTTGGTGGCATATGCCTTTATTCTGGCACTCAGGAGACAGGTAGGTGGATCTCTGTGAGATCCAGGCCAACCTTATCTACATAGTGAGTTCCAGGCCAGCTGGGGCTACAGGGAGACCATGTCTAAAACAAAACAAAGCTAATAAACAAAAAACAGGAAGGGAGGGAGGGATGGATAGAGGAAGAAATGGCTCAGCAGCTAAGAGCCTGTGCTGCTCTACCAGAGGACCAGAATTTGGTTCCCAGCACCAATGTAGGGCAGCTCACAACTGCCTGTAACTCCAGCTCCAGGGGATCTGACACCCTCTTTTGGCCTCCTCAGGCAATGACACATATGGCATATACACACAGATACACATGAAAAAATCAGTAAATCTTTAAAAAATTTTTTTAAACTGGCTCAGCAGTTAAGAACACTGCTCTGGCAGAGGACCTGGTTTGGTTCCCTGCACCCACATGGCAGCTAACAATTATCTGTAACTCCAGTTCTAGGGTATCTGACACAGGCATTGCAAGCATGTGATGCACTTACATACAGGCAAAATTACTCATATACATAAAATACAAATAAAAAATTTTAAAACTTAGACCGGACATGATGGTGCACACACCTTTAATCCTAGCACTGGGGAGGCAGAGGCAGAGAGGCAAGTGGATCTCTGTGAGTTCAAGGCCAGCCTGGTCTACATAGTGAGTTCAAGGCCAGCCTGCTACATAGTGACCACACCTGACTTCTTTGAAAATTATTATAGAAATTTCCAAATTGCCCTAAGGTCTCAAAAAGACCAAAAAAAAAAAAAAATTTTTTTTTTTAATTAAAACACAACATCAGAAGTTCCAGACAATCTGGTTGAGTCAGGAGGTTACTTGAGCCCACAAAGGTTTTTTGTTTGGTTTGTTCTTTAAAATGTTTTTAATTTAAATTTTTAATTTATATTTTATATATATGAGTGTTTTGCCTGTCTCAAGGCAACAATGCTAAGAGCAACAGAAGACACCTGCTCTCACTGCCATGTATGTCCAACTCCACACTCAATGCATGCACCACATACATACTCTTATCTACCAACACACACAGAGACAAAAACAAATAAATAAATAAATAAATAAATAAATAAATAAATAAATAAATGTGGCTGGAGGTGTCACTCAGTTGGTACAGTGCTTGCCTAGCATACACAAGGCCTTGGGATCAGTTCAAAGCACTGCATAAACCAGGTAGGGTGGTGAATTCCTGTAATCAAAGACCTTGGGAGGCTGAGACAGGATGATCAGGAGTCAAGATCATTTTGTGCTACATATCAAATTCAAGGCCAATCGGGACTAATGAGAACTTGTTTCAAAAAAGAGGTAAAGGCCAGGTGTGGTAGTGCATGCCTTTAATCCCAGCACTCAGGAAGGAACTAGAGGCAGGTGTATCTCTGTGGGTTTGCTAAGTTTGAGGCCAGCCTGGTCTACATAGTGAGTTTCTGGTCAGCTGGAGCTACATAGTGAAACCCTGTCTCAAAAAAGGTGGAGGGACATGGGGAGATGAACTGTGGAACTAGGAAGAACCCGAGATGGTTCAGCCAGTAATGTGCTTGCTGCTTATGCAGGAGTACCTGAGTTTGATTTCAAGAACTCCTATAAAAATCTGGCTGTGTGTCAGCAAGATGGCTCAGTGGGTATAGGCACTTGTTGCCAAACATGATGACCTATGTTTGATCTCCAAGATACACAAGGTAGAAGGAGAACTGATTCCCACAAGTTATCGTTTGACTTCCACTTGTGTGCCCACACACAGAAATAAATATAATAAGGGGGAAAATCCAGGTGTGACTGCATACATCTGTAATCCCAGTGATGGGGAATTGGAGCCAGGAGGCCAATCCCCAGAGGTTTGGCCAACTAGTCTAGCCGAATCAGTGAACTCCTGGGTCACTGAGAAACCTTGTCTCGAAAACAAGAATATTGGAGAGTAATTGAGAAAGACACTAGATATTGACCTTTGGCCTCCACATATGCACACATACAAGTGCACATGCACCTCCATGTACATATGCACACACACAAGTAAGCATGCACACACAAAGAGGAGGGGGAGAGCTGACAAGCTCAGCTGGTAGAATGCTTCTTAGCATGTGCAAAGCTAAAGGCCTTGTTTTGATGCCCAGGACCTCATCAAATGGAGATGATGACACACAAATTTAATCCCAGCACTCAGGAGATGGAGGCGGGAGGATAAAAGTTCAAATTCATCCTTACCTACATATTGCTTGAAGCCAGCCTAGATTACATGAGACTGTCTTTAGGGAAAAAAAGAAAGGACTGGAGAGTTGGTGCATGCCTTGCACGCATACACACACCCCCCACAGAAGAACAGAAGGTTGGAGGGAAAGGGAAATGGAAGGAAGGGAAGAAGGAAAGGAAGGAAAGGAAAAAGACCACATTGGAGACCAAGGGCCCTGGAAGCCAGCACTCAAAGGCTTCCCTAGGAGATGAGAGGAAGCCCTGCAGGAGGAGGGAAGACAGAAAGCCTGGGATATGCAGACTCATGCCCCGCCCTTCCCTGTCCTTCCCTGCAGCAGGCTCTGGAGCACCTGGAGCACCAGCTGAGGGAGAAGGTGAACCAGCTGAATGCCCTGCGACACCAGGTGACACTGCGGCAGAAACGGCTAGAGGAGCTGAAGCTGCAGCACAGCCTGCGCCAGCTGGAGATAGATGAAGTGCAAGACAGCAGCACAGAGGTGGCCAAGGTGAGGCTTTCCAGGCGCTGCAGGGTCCTGGGGAGGCAGAGAATGGAGGGTGGTGTAGGGAGCTTGGCCCAGCCCTGCCACCCCCACTAGACCATGCGCAACCTGGAGAATCGTCTGGAGAAGGCACAGATGAAGGCAGAAGAGGCTGAGCACATTACCAGCGTGTACCTGCAGCTCAAGTCTTACCTCCAGGTAGGGAAGCATTGGAAAGAGAGGTAGATGGTGAGGGCAGACTTAACTAGGGACAGGCAGTCACAGGCCTGACCTCCCTTTGCACACCAGGAAGAAAGTCTCAACTTGGAGAACCACCTAGACTCCATGGAGGCTGAGGTGGTGAAGACCAAACATGAGGTAGAAGAATTGAACATGATGAATCAAGAGGCTCTCAATGCCCGGGACATTGCCAAGGTGCCAACCCACCTGCCCCACAGGGGAAGGGGTCCTCCCAGCTACCACAGTGCTATGTGACATTTCCTGGGGCAATGCTAACCAATGTAGATGCATCCTGTATACAGAAGGAACCATTCCACCAAAGTTCATTTTTTTGATGAAACAGTGAGTTTATTGGGCTTTAAAATTTTTTTTATTATTTTTATGTATATGAGTGTATTGTCTGCATGTATGTAAGTGCACTCATGTCATACAAAGATTGCAGAGGCCAGAAGAGGGCATCAGGTCCCCTGGAACTGGAGTTACGGACAGTTGTTAGCTGCCATGTGGGTGCTGGGACTTGAACCTGGGTCTTCTGAAAGGACAGCAAGGGTTCTTAACCTCTGAGCCATCTCTCTGGCCCCTATTGGGCTTACTTGTGTATTAATAAAAAGCCCACTCCAGGAGCTGTATGGCTGGCTCAGCAGTTAAGAGCACTGGCTGTTCTTGCAGAGGACCTGGGTTCAGTTTCCAGTACCCACATGGTGGCTGACTACTGTCCATAACTCATAGCTTCGGTTCCAGCGGATCAAGGGCCCTCTTCTGGCCTCCACATGCAGTGACTGTAGAGGCCAGAGGAGGATGTCCATCTCCTAGAAATGGAGTTCCAGATGACTGTAAGCTGCCCTGTTGCGGTTGCAAACCAAACCTGGGTCCTCTGGAAGGGCAGTAAGTGCTCTTAATTGCTGAGCCACCTCTCCAGTCCTGTGTTTGTTTTTTTTTTTTTTTTTTTGAGACAGGGTCTCCCTGTAGCCCCAGCTGGCCCAGAACTCACTATGTAGACTAAACTGGCCTCCTTCTCATAGAGATCCACCTGTGTCTGCCTCCAGCATGCTGGGATTAAAAGATGTGCGCCACCATCCTGGCCTAAGGAGAGTATGTTTCAATTCAGAGGAAATAGCCTCTCAACAGAGGTCTCTAGGAACCCTAGGCAGAATCCCCTGTTGTTTTTTAGCCTTTCCAGCGGTGGCAGGTGTGTGGCCTGGGTCCCGTTTCTAGACTGGATAGACACCAGTGCCCCCTTTGCCTGCCCTCTAGAACCAGCTGCAGTATCTCGAGGAAACTGCTATCCGAGACCGCAAGAAGCGTGAACACTACATAACCAGTTGCAAGAAGCGCGCAGAAGAGAGGAAACTTCAGAATGAGCGCATGGAGCGCAAGGTATGCACACCCAAGAGTACAGGGCTGCACAGACCCAAACCAGCTAGGTCTCAGCTAGGCCTCTCCTACATGCCCACATCCAGACCTAGAGCCTTTGCTGAACTTGACGACTGTCCTGACTGGCTCCCTCCCTCAGTCCCCCCTCCACTTGTTGTCCCATTTTGGCTCTGCCATCGCCTCCTGTCTTCCCCTAACTATATACCCGCTTGTTCTAAGTCAGACCTGGCCTCTAGTCCGCCCCTTTCCATACATCCTGCCCCTTTCTGGAGGCCACACCCTTCTACAGCCCCACCCCCTTGCACTGGTTCTGAGGCCACCTCTTTTTTATTTACTATTTTTATTTTATGTGTATGAGTGTATTGCTTGCATGTATGTGAGTGCACCCATGTCGTGCAATGCTGTGGAGGTCAGAAGAGGGCTTCGGATTCCTCCATGTAGGTGCTGGGAATCGAACCCCGGTCCTCTGCAAGAGCAGTCAGTGCTCTTAACCGCTGAGCCATCTCTCCAGCCCTGAGGCCACCTCTTGTCCAGTACTCCTGCCCAGATGCTCTTACCTAGTCGCAAGCCTTTGCCCTGCCCCCTTATGAACTTGCCAATCTAAGCTTGGTCTTTTGGTCTTTGCCCCATCCCTTATCTGAGAGTGGGAGTTGACCCTGACCATGGCCTTGACTTTTCCTTCCCCCTCCGCCTGGCTCAGACACAGCGGGACCACATGCTGGTGCAGTCTGAAGATATAGTGCAGGACCACCTGCGCAACAAAGAGCAGGAGCTGAAACAGCGCTGGAGCATGTACCAGATGGAGGTGATGTTCGGCAAGGTCAAGGATGCCACTGGAGTGGCTGAGTCTCACGTGAGTGTTGCGGGTACACACAGCACTCTCTGCCCCCTGAAGCAACTCAGCATCCCACTCTTGACCACTTCTGGGACATTTTCCATGACCTGGTTCTGGGGTCCTGCCTGCTAACACGGACTCCAAAACCAGTTTCTCTATTTGGGTTCTCTGAAAGCCCATACCCCTCAATTGGAGTTAATCTCCAGGAGATCCAAGATTCTGACCTATGAGGTCATTTGTGGCCCCGAGTCCCCTTTTCGGAAGTGGATCGGCCAGCTGGGTCTATGTAGGGAGTTCCAGGCCATCCTACATAGTGAGACTGCCTCAAAAAAACAAAACTAAAAGCATGAAAAGCTGGGAGTGGAGATGCACCCCTTGAGTCCGAGCACTGGAAGGCAGAGGCAAGCAGATCTCTGAGTTCAATGAAGGCCAGCCTCATCTACATAGTGAGCTCCAAGCTAGCCAGGGCTACATAGTGAGACCTTGCCTTAAAAAACAAGCCAGGTGTGGTGGCTCACGCCTTTAATCCCAGCACTTGGGAGGCAGAGGCAGGTGGATTTCTGTGAGTTCGAGGCCAACCTGGTCTCCCATAGCGAATCCAGGCCAGCCAGGGCTACAGGGAGACCCTGTCTCAAAAAAGAAAGGAAAAAAACAAGTGGATTATGGCAGGTGAAATGGCTTAGTGGGTATAGGTGCTTGTGCAGAGCTTCACCACCTGAGTTCCATCCCTCGAACCCACGTGGTGGAAGGAAAGAACTGACTCCCCTATGTTGTCCACTGACCACTTGCTGTGGCATGTGTATAATTACACCCACACAATAAACAGATTAAAAGAAATTTTTAAATAGATAAAGAAGGGGGTGGAGGGCTGGTTCAATGGTTAAAAGGACTGACTGCTCTTGCAGAAGCCCTGGTTTGGTTTCCATTACCCACAGGATGACTAACAACTCTAACTCCAGTTCCAGGGAATCCAACGCCGCCTTCTGGTCTCTGTGGGCATTGCACATATGGGTGCATTTACATGCATGCAGTCAAAACACTCATACACATAAAACTAATAACAAGGCCGGGTGTGGTGGTGCAAGCCTTTAGTCCCAGCACTTGGGAGGCAGAGGCAGATGGATCGCTGTTGAGTTAGAGGCCAGCCTGGTCTCCACAGGGCGTTCCAGGCCAGCTGGGGCTACAGGGAGATCGTGTCTCAAAGAGACCCAAAACAAAAGGAGGTGGGTCAGGAGGGCTGATCCCTTACAGCATTTCCTTGGGGGACTGGACGAGATCCCCCGCCAGAACTTGCAGGCGCCATGATTTTTTAAGTAGCTGTGGTTCACCGCCGTGCTGTGCCGGCGTTATAATTTCAGCTGACTCAAACATAAGCAAATAATCAGGGAAAAAATGATTTGGCCTTGAATCAGCCTGGAGACTGACCTTCACAGTCCCCATACACCGCTGTGCCAAGGCCGCCCTCCGAAGCCACTTGTCCAGTGAGGTGCGTCAGGTGCAGCCCCTCCCTAGACCCGGCCCTGACTGGTTGAGCGGCCCGCAGGCAGTAGTGCGGCGGTTCCTGGCCCAGGACGAGATCTTCACGCAGCTGGAGACTCTCAAGAAGGACAACGAGCAGGCGTTGGTGAGGCTGAAGGACGAGAAGCAGCGACTCCAGAGGGAGCTGGAAAACCTCAAGTACTCAGGGGACGCCACCGTGGTGAGGTGAGGCCCCGGTGACCGAGGGAGGCGGCGGGGGCGCTCGGGCTCGGTCGCGTGGGCAGGTCGACCTCCCGGTCCCTGCAGCCAGCAGAAGCGCCGTGACGAGATGCAGGAGTCCCTCCGTACCGAGGAGCAGCGGCGCCGCGATGTCCAGGAGCGACTGGAGCGCACTTCACGGGTCCTGCAGACAGCCAAGGACAGCCTGGAGCACCTAGCCAACAAGCTGAACCACATCGAGGTGGTAGGCCCCGCCCCAACAACGCGGCAGCTTCCAGGAGACCCGCCCTAAGAAGGCCCCGTCCCAATGACGCTCCACTCCTGAGAAGCCGGGTCCTCAGGAAGCTCCCTCTGCTCACAAAACCCCGCCTAAACGAAACCCACCCCTAAGAAGGTCCTGCCCCGCCCTCAACGAGTCCTATTCAGCAGCTCCAACAGAGCCTCTCCTGACAAGGCTCCGCCCCACGGAAATTCCACGCCCAACAAAGCCCGGCTCCAACAGGTCCCGCTCCTGACAAAGTCCCACCCCCACCCCAATGAAGCGCTAGTTCTTAAAAAGCTCCGCCCCCAGCCGGGCGTGGTGGCGGGCAGGCCTTTAGTCCCAGCCCTGGGGAGGCAGAGGCAGGCGGATCTCTGTGAGTTCAAGGCCAGCCTGGTCTACATAGTGAGTTCCAGGACAGCTGGGGCTGCAGGGAGACCCTGTCTCAAAAAAGACAAAACAAACAAACAAACAAAACACACTCCTCCCCGAAAGAAGAGTCATTCTTAGGGAAGCCCCACCTGAAGAGGTCCAACCTCCAAAGAAGCCATGCCTAAAGCCGCTCCGCCCCATTGAAAGGCCCTTCCCACTTCCTTGCAATGCACCTGATGGTGCATCCACGCGGTCTGGGTTTCTGTGCCACACAAGTCATAGGAAGCCTGGCCCAGTCTCCAGCCCAGAACGTGAGGCCCCGGGTACAGACGATAGCTCCATCCCACTCATCAGAGACTGAACCCCACATTTCTGGGGAAGTCCTCCCTCAAACCCGACACCCACCCCTCGGGCAAGACCCACCACGCTTATGACACCCCACGCATATGACACCCCACTCCAATCGTGAAGCCCCAGACCAGAGAAGCCCTGTCCTGCCCGCAAAAGGCTCATTTCTTCAAAAAGCCATCCTCAACCAAGTTATTAATGAGAGTTATAAAGCTGGGCGTGGTTGTGCACGCCTTTAATCCCTAGCACTTGGGAGTCAGAGGCAGGCGGATCTCTGGGAGTTTGAAGCCAGCCTGGTCTACATAGTGAGTTCACTGACAGCTGGAGTTCCAGGAGGGAGACACTGTCTCAAAAAGACCTAAAAAGAAGGTTTTAATTATGAACCTGGGATAGCCCTTCTCTGCCATGGAACCTCCCTGTAGTTCAGAGGTTTCGCCCTCGAGGCGTAGCCTTTAATTTCGGAGTCCCCGCCCCACAATGCTAAACATCTCCATGGGTAACTCCAATTCATGGGTTTCAGCTCCCTAGAAAAAGCCCTACCCCTGGGTAAAGCCCATCCCCTCAGAAGTCCCGCCCCTTCTGGCTGACCTGGCCCTGCCCCTGGCTGCAGGATGACAGCTCTTTGGCAGGAAAGAAGTTAGATCCGGATGCAGAGGACTACCTATCTAACTTGCTGGTACTAGTAGAAGAAAAGCTGCTGAAACTACAGGGGCAGATTGAGAGCCACGATGTGCCAGAAATGTTACGCCACATGACGGATCGTGAGGTGCCCCTGAATCACTGGGCAGGACTGGAGACACCAGGGGAAGGGGGAGGCAATCCTGGGGAGGGTAGGATGGAGACTGAGAAGGCGGTCTTAGGAGCAACAGATGGGAGTGTGGAGAGATGGCTTTAGAGGGAACTGGGAATAAGAGCACTGGCTGCTCTTGCAGAGGACCCAGGTTTGCTTCCCAGCATCCACATTGCGACTAACAATTGTCCCTAACTCCAGTTTCAGGGGATTCAACACCCTCCTCTGGCCTCCTTGGGCATTGCATGCAGGTGGTACACTTATATGCAGACAGAACACTCATACACATAAATAAACCTGGAGTCAGGCAAGGTGGTACAGGCCCTTCCCAGCACTCTGGAGGTGGATCTCTGTGAATTCAAGGCCAGCCTGATCTCCATAGTAAATCCAGGCCAACTGTGGCTATTAGGGAGACCCTGTCTCAAAAAGGCCAAATTAAATAAATAAATTTTGGGCCCGGCATGATGTACATGCCTTTAATCCCAGCATTTGGGAGGCAGAGGCACGTAAAGCTGAGAGATGTGGGAGGGTCCCAGAATACTGGGCTAGGCAATCAGAGATGGCCCTAGAGAGGCCTATGGGCAGGGCTTCTGAAACTGGACAGTAGGTTTGTGTTACAGAGTGGGCCTGAGAGATGGGAGTAGGCCTTGGTCTCTGCATAGAATCAGGGCATTATTTCCAAGTAAGGGGGCTGGGGGAGTCAGAACTTCACTGATGTCTCCACCTCTCTCTCCTACCTCCTGTAGTTCCTGGCCACCTTAGAAGGAAAACTGCCCCTCTACAACACCCGCATCCTTCTGCCGGTAGCCAGCATCAAGGACAAGTTCTTCGGTCAGTCCTGACAAAAGGGGATGGAGTTGGGCCAAGGAGTGAGGTGTATGGGGTGGAAAGCTGCACAGAGGCAGGGAGCTAGAACTCTGGCCTTTCAGAAGAGATAGCTCTTGCAGAGGACCCAGGTTTCTTTCCCAGCACCCACATGGTGACTAACAACCATCCATAACTCCAGTTCCAAAAGATCTGATGTCTTCTTCTGGTCTCTGAGGGAGGGCATCGCATGCATGTGGTGCACATACATATACATGCAGGCAAAATACACAAAAAATAAATGAAGATAAACAGGCTAGAGATCTCATCTTCCCTAACCCCGTGCCCTCTCTACAGATGAAGAGGAGAGTGAGGAGGATGACCACAACATGGTGACCCGGGCTGCCTTCAAGCTCCGTTCCCAGAAGTTAATTGAAACCCGCAGCAAGAAACGGAGTAGATCCCGCAGGCCCTAGATGCCTAGTGAAATGTCCACTCGATGCCTCCAGGCCTCTAGGGAGCCCCTCCAGACTCCTCTGGGTCCAGCTATGGGTGTTTGGGGGGGGGCATGAGGTCCCTTCAAGGGCTGGAGCAGTGAGCAAAGCAGACCAATTCTGCTGGGAGGAGAGGGAAAGGTGGGGCCAGATGTTCCCGCAGTAAATCTCCCAAGGCTGGTCAGCACCAGCCTCAGAATTGTGCAATAAAGGTCACAGACCAGAGTCCTGGTGTTCACCTCTTCTTGACACTATATCGCCCCCAAACGGCTCTTCCCACAAAACTCTGGGTCACAGACCACTTCCCATCTTCCGATCTGGGGTGATAGGACTATCACCTGGCAACACAGACTTCAATGTTTCCCTCCTTATCCTCCAAACATGAGACACTCCTATACTTGAGGCTGCTCAACCTCTGACTGAGGACAAAGGACTTCTGGCTTGTGGACACAGACTTGCCCCCCATTTATCTATGCACAAGTTAGGTGGTCCACACTGAAGGTCAGTGAAAAAGATGGCTGTTCTGGCTGACGGATGGATAGACACCACTGGGGAGAACAGGGGCTTCTGGGTGTGCTTGGGCCCTGGGGCCTGGCTGGGGACCCCTCAGAGCAGTAGGAATGCCTTGCTCAGTCCCGTCCCGCCCCTCGAGGCCCTACAGCCCCGCCCTACTGCCCCAGAGCCCAGCCACTGCCCACCAGTGGCCGGCCCTTCCGCCTCATTCTGCAGCTACAGGGAGCCGGACGAGCACCTGGGCCATGGAGCGCTTGGCGGGCAAAGAGCTCGCCCTGGTAAGAGGGGTCTAGGGATCTCCGGACCCCGCATCCCTGGTGTGCCCCAGATTCAGAAATTCCAGATACTCAGCCATCGATCGATTCCTAACTTCAGCAAAATGGATCTTCGCCGGATCCCCACTTTGGGATTCAGCGAAACGGCTAGTTTTCTGAATGGGGGCGGGGGTCTGAGCGCATCTCAGAAGGAGGCGAGAGAAACCTTCTTTGTGACACAGAACACTGAGATGTCCCCAAATGCTACTTCATCCACTCGGGATTTGGGAGGACGGTACCTGTGGTGCAGAGGGTCTCAAATGGGATTCCATTCCAAGTTTCTAAGACTGCCTAGGAGAGGGGGGGCCCTACGCGTAAAGGCCCCCGGGGCTGAGACTGGGACCAACCTGAGCCCGCCTCCGCCACCAGGCGCCACTGCAGGACTGGGGCGAAGAGACCGAGGACGGTGCAGTGTACAGCGTCTCCCTGCGCCGGCAGCGCAGCCAGCGCGCGAGCCCAGCGGAGAGGCCTGGGAATAGCCAGGTGAGGAAGGGACTGGACGTGACCAGCTCCGGGCCAGCTCAGCTCAGAGGCCTGGGCGTGGCAAGGTGAGGGAGAAGCTGGAGAGCCCAGAGTGGGCCTCCCAAGTGCACCAGGCTGGGAGGAAGGGCAGAGCTCAGAGGCCACCAGGTGCTTGAAAAGGGCCAGGGGGTGGCCAGGTGACCAACGAGCAGATCCAGGAAATGGGGTGGGGCCAGGTGATAGTGCGTCCTCTAGAGGGATCTGGGGGCAGCAAGGTGAAGCTGAAAGGCAGAGTGAAGGAGAGCCGGTTTAGTGGGCGGGAGCCGGAAGGAGGGGGTGGAAGGAGGAGCGGCTGGGTGAAGGTGGATGGGCCGAAGGCATGACCAGTGAAGCAAGACTGGCAGGTTGGATTGAAATCTAGGGTGGCCTAGTGTGAGGGGATAGAGGGCTGTGCTTAAGAGGACTGGGCTTAATAACCTATCTGGGGAGCCCCAGGTTTTCGGAAATGGACAAGGTAAAAAGCAAAAGAGGGGGCCAGGGCGTGGTGGTGCACACCTTCAGTCCCAGCAGTCAGGCGGAGCTCTGTGAGTTTGAGGCCAGCCTGGGCTACATAGTGAATTCTAGGTCAACCCTGGCTACATAGTGAGACCCTGTCTTTTAAAAACAGTGCTTGAAAGCGGCGTGCTTGGGCGCCCCTCATGCTGTCTCACCCCCCCTTATCCCCTCCCCCAGACTCCAGCTACCTACACCTTCCTCCACTACCGCACCAGCAAAGTGCGGGTGCTTAAGGCTGCCCAGCTGAAGCGGCTGGTGCATGAGTTAGTGTCTGGAGACCGGGAGCAAGACCCAGACTTTGTGCCTGCCTTCCTGGCCACTCACCGGACTTTTGTGCCCACAGCCGTCGTACTTGGCTTTCTGCTACCCCCTCCACCGCCGCCGCCGCCACCACTACCTCCTGGGTCAGTCATTTTCATCCCAGTTCTCCATCGGACTTGGAACACCACAACTTGAACCCTAAAACCCCATATCTTTGACCCCTTCGTCTGATGAATGCTGTCTTCCCAGGGTAGACCGGAAGAGTCCAGAGGAACAGAACTTTAGTCTCAACAAGAATCTCAGGTTGGTTTGCACCCCCCCACACACACCCTCCCAAAGGAGCATGGGGGAGGGGACCTCAGCGTCAGCGATGAGGCCTAAGGGCCTGAAGTTGGCTAGTTTGAACTGCCGAGGTTGGACTCATTTCTGAGGGCCCTTCCCTCACTGTGGCCAGGGCTGTGGTTTCTGTGCTGGGTTCTTGGCTGCGGGACCATCCTCAAGATTTCAGAGACCCCCCTGGCCATCCAGACCTGGGCAATGTTCGGATATTTCTGGGCTGGGCAGCCCCAGGAGGGGCAGAAGCCAGGGAAGCAGAGAAACTTCTGGAAGATTTCTTGGAGGAGGCAGAGGTAGAGCCAAAAGAAGGGAAGCAGATACTGGCTTGGGCAGGTGAGAAACCATTACCATTCCTACCTGGTACCTGCCTGAGGCTATCTACCCCTCACCAAATTACAGATCTTGGTCACATCTTTTTGTTTTTGTTTTGTTTTGTTTTTCTGAGTGAGTTTCTCACTCTGTAGTCCTGGCTGGGCTAGAATTCACTATGTAGATCAGACTAGCCTCAAACTCACAGAAATCCACCTGCCTCTGCCTCCAGAATGCTAGGACTAAAGGTGCGTGCCACCACACCTTTTATCATGGATTCTGGGATGGGATCACTTACTCTTCAGGACTGAAGCAAGTGCTATTACTAGCTGAGCCATCCCATTGACCCCTTTATTATTATTTTAGTTTTGGTTTTAAAGACAGGGTCTCATGTAGCCCAAGCTGGCCTCAAACTCATCACTTTGTAGCCAAGGATAACCTTGAAAGTTTGATCCTTCTGCCTCTATCTCCCCTGTGCTAGGATGTGTGCCACCATACCCAGTATTATTTTTGTTATTGTCTTTTAAAAGATTTTTGCAAGGGGCAGGGTCTTGATATGTACCCCAAACTGGCCTCATCTCTATGTAGCAGAGGAGGACCCTGAACAGGTGCATGGTTTATGTGGTACTTGGGATTGAACTTGGGGCTTTCTGTGTGCTAGGCAAGCAGTCTAGCAACTAAGCTACACCCCCAGTCCCTTCCTCAGCCCCCTAAGTTCTGGAATTGAAGATGATACCAACATAAAGCTTGGTATTTTGTTCAGTGTTTGTTTTGGGTCCTAGGGAGGGAACCCAGAGCCTTGTACCTGCTAGGCAATTTTCCAGTGATTCTAACTTATTAGATATCTGCAGTTATGATAGAATGCATTCCAAGAAGTCATATTGATACTTTATTGTAAGTATCAAGGTATCAGCAAACACTATAGAAATAGTTGACTGTCAATTGGAGGCCAGTTTGATCTACATAGGTAGTTCCAGACCAATCTGGGCAGTGAGCCCTATTTAAAAAAAAAAAAAAAAAAAAAAAAAAAAGGGCTAGAGAGAGGGCTGGAGAGATGGTTCAGTGGTTAAGAGCACTGACTGCTCTTGCAGAGGACCCGGGTTCGATTCCCAGCACCCACATGATAGCTACTCCAGTTCTGGGGGAATCCAATGCCTTCTTCTGACCTCTGTAGGCATTGCACGATACAGGTACACTTACACAAATGCAAGCAATACACTCATACACATAAAATAAATTTTTTTTAAAAAAAAGGGCAGGGCTGGAGAGATGACTCAGTGTTTAAGAACACTGAATGTTCTTGCAGAAGACCTGTCACTCACATGGCAGCTACAACTGTCGGTAACTCCAGTACCAGGGGATCCAACAGCCTCTTCTGACCTCTGTGAGCATTGCACGACATGGGTGCACTTACCTACATGCAGGCAATACACGCGTACACATAAAATAAAATAAAAAATAAAAGAAGAAAAAAAAGAAAAGAAACTTTATATACCTCATTTAGATTACCAGTGGGGCCAACAAAATGACTCATCTGTTTAAGAAGCTTACTGCCAAGCCTTACAACCTGAGTTCAGGGTTGTAAGGGACAATCTGGGACCCACATGGTGGAAAGAGAGAATTGACTTCAAAAAGTTATCCTCTGACCACACACGCACGCACACACGCACTGCAATTTTCCATTTATTCATTCATTTATTTACATTTTATTTATTGGGGGGCATAGCATGCATGCATGTGCTGCTGAGCCATCTTGATGGGCGTTGAATCTCCCACACTGTGTTCTCTGAGCCTACCTTGTTTCTCTGCATGTCATTCATGACTGATGCCTGGCTTTTCAGAATCCCAGGAGTGCAGGAGAGGAGGATCCTATTAGCTTTGTCCCGCAGCTCTGTCCCTGGAAGCAGGAACAATACAGATTAGTTGATGAGTAATTGCACCCTGCTTAGCAAGTGTCATCTCCCATCTATGTTTGATCAGAGTCTATATCCCTAATTCTCATCTCTTAATTCTCATCCTTAAATTCCCATTCCTTAAGACTCATCCCTTAATCCTCATCTCTAATCCTTGTGTTAAAATGGCTGCAGTCCTCTCTCTATGGAGTAGCAGCCACTTAGCTATCCCTAGTGACAAAGTCATATATA